ACTACTAGGAACAAGAAGGTAGTAGGGGCTCCTGGCATCGCTACTAGTAACAAGATGACAAATGGATCTTAACATCCCGGTCTGTTTTTTCAGTGCTCGTCCTGGTACCGCGCTTGAAGCTCCTCCTTCTTCGCTTTGGCACCGCGCTGATTCTGAGCCTCGGATCTCAAAACATCGGACGATGAACTCAGGGGAAACAACAACTCCTCAGTGATGTGAGGCTATAAATGTATAAGCTCACAAACTATATACTATACACTCAACTAAGGCTATACAGCTTTAACAATGATATAGTAAACACTTATATGGCTTTGTACACTGTTTATACACTGCTTAAACCATTTACACTGTTTCTACACTTTCATCATGGCTTTTGAAGTTGCTCCTCTTCACGAGCTACACATGCTAGGGCAGGATCATGAAGGATTCCAATGTACAATCATGTATTCCAGTAGACCTACTTCAGTGGAATTCAACACTGAGGACCTTTGCAATTTCGGCCACTGCTTCTGTCGGGTCGCCTTCTTGTGCAACGCTTGGAGCTTGGGCAACGCACGCCTGTCGCACGCTTTACAACTCGCGGGGACGGACCTGGGACCTCGGTGGAATGGTTTTTCAGCTCGGTTTCGGTAGACACGGTTTCGCGAGCGATTTGAGCTGCATGGTCAATATTTCTACACGCCGTCAAGCTTCTTTGGTTGTTTTTTTCATGTTGTACTGTCGGATTTAGACATGATATATCATGATATGACATGATCATTCATTGAGCTGAGACATATCCAAACATGATAGGCACTGCGTCGGTTGGACGCAGTCTCTTTCAGCATTCCGTGGGCTCAGCTACGACTCGCCTCGTCTCGATAAAACATGAATGACTCACGACTTCACATAGAGAGCAAGAAGCATAGCGTTTGAGATCTCAAACACTCCGTATGGAATATGTCTACATACCAGCATTCACAAAGGGGTGCTTAATGGAGGTTCGGAGTGCCCATTATCCACTCACTTAGGGACCAAACACCACCCCGTCTTGTGACTGCTGGTATGTCAACATTGACCCCTCAAACCACCCGAACAGATCGGCAAAAATATCAATTCCAGTCTGATTTCTTGTGCCTGGAGGGTAGAGGATCAAGAAGCTACGAACGGAGCATTTCGGGCATCGCGACACGAACGGGCGGTCGGACGCTACGAACGTAGCTCCTGGCCTTACTACGAACGGAGCAAGAACGCTAGGAACGGAGCTTTAAAACAGTCCTCCGACCGTGTGCTGCGCCTGAGTTCCTCCAACGCTTGCCGCACTGAGTGTCCTTTCTGGATGGTCTCCTGTGATGAACGCTTTTCGAGGGAACGTCTGTTGTAAAATCATCGTGCGCATCACATGACTTCACACATAGACTCAGTCTTGAAGCCATGTAATTCATGGTCTGTTTTGCTTATTGTTGTACTATGCTGTAATGTTTCACAGCAATGATACACTTGAAAAACTCGGAAACCTGTGAAGAACCACACCAAGGATATATCTGCAAACCATGAAGTAACTACACTTAGGCGGTCTAGCACGCAGCCATACGCAGCCAGGCTCGTGGTCCACTTCTACAGCTGGCCCCATGGCTGGTTGTGCTGTGCGTTGTCTGGACTAGTCTGCTTGATGTGGCATGTTCGCTGTGGCCATGTGAGGCAATATGCTGCCAAACTGGGTCGTCCTTTATCGGTGGTGAGGATGCCCAGGCATTTGTCGGTTGCTCATGTGAGAAAAACAATGTCCATATGTCAAGAAACACGTGGTGTTTACCCATGTCCATTGCCGCCCGGTCCGTGCAATTGCCGCGCTTGTTGAGGAGCTTCTGCCGGTCGTGGATGTCCTTCCGTGCTTCCTCTAAGAGGACGTAGACCTGCCGGTGCTTCAGGTCGGTCGTGGATGCGGGCGCTGCGACCTTTCGTGGAGGATGTCTTCGTTTTCGCCCGGTCCTATGTCCCACTTGTTACTACTAGCTTCTTGTTACTACTAGTAAGGCACCTGTTACTACTAGCGTGGCACTTGTTTCTATTAGCTTTTTAAAGCCCAGTCCTACTTCAGTAAGGGACCGGGACACTGAGCTTAGAATGGGAGGATGCAGGATAGTGAAGACGCTTCTTGAAGGGAAACTTAAGAGAGCCAGAGCCTAAATGAGCCCAAACATGACCTCTATTTTGATAGGAAATTGGACCCTATTTTCAGTCGGTTTTTGCTCTAAAATAAATGCTATTGAGTGTTCTAGGTAAACAAATGATTGAACATGTTATAAGATTAGCCTGACGAATTAATATTGTTCCAGACTTTGGTTTCCGATCAAAAACCACGCATCCTGAAGACTTCTCTGACCTGCAGGGTGACCTGCTGTGGTGAACATCGCTGTTCCTGTTCGCTGCTTCGCTTGTCACTCGAGTAGACTTGGTTGGTCGAGGTCGTCATCCACCGTGGCTGGCTGGTCGTCTGGGTTCAGGTCGACGGAAAAACTCACGAATCTGATTCAAAGAGAAGCTGATCGAGCCCATCGGTGCTTTGTCCAGCAGTCTTCTACGTAGCTACGTTGCGTCTGAAAACCTGTGAAGCAAACCGTCCTAGCGCATCGGAACGGATGGTGCGGCCTAGTGAAGCAACTCAACGAGTTGAAACATACTGTCCACTCACCGACCCAACAGCACAAACATAGAACGGAACCGATTCCCACACCCCATCGAATTGTGACCCAAAAAGTATCAGTATCATCTGGGCATCCTGCTTCTCTTCGCCAAACCATGCTATCTTGCAGCCTACTAAGCATTTTGGGCTGTGCTGGGGTGCCCCGCTCGCTGCTTTAATCGCAGGAATTCATCCTTGGGCTGGTCCTGCAGTGAAGCATGGGGTTGGTGGCAGGCACCTCGTTCCAGGTCAACGGTCTCCCGTAAAAAACACATACACTTCCCACTAAAAGGACCAACGGCTAAGCTTCCAATATGCTTCCAACGGCTAGGTATAAGTGCACGTTCGTTCGCTTGCACCGTCTTCCGTCGGACCTTCGGACACGTGTGCGACGCATGACCGTTTTCATCGGGCGCCGTCGTCTTCCGCGTTGGAAACGCCGCGTGGCGTTGCGTGGGTGGCGAAGCAAACCAGACCACACGTGGACGGAGCTTTGGCGGCCAGGGGCGTCCGGCGACCGGGACGGTAGATAGCACCTGCGCCCGGCCAAAAGGAGCCCTAGGATGCCCCAGGATATCCCGGCTCGATTCCATGATATCAATGATCAATCACCACCAAGAACCAATCTGCAGCTGGCTCCATACCATTCTGCCCACTCCTCCTTTTTCTTTTCACCACAAGCTTCAGCAATGGCCTCCAATCGCCTTAGCACATTCGGACATGCAATTATACCTTCTGAGGGTGAGAATGGTGAAAACTCAAACATGAATGATCACGTCTAGTAGTGAAAACACGACGTGTATGTTTGCTCCTGTGGCAAACACCATATACTCTGCTGATTGTTCAACCTAGAAACTCATGAAATATCCTCTCGCTGTTCCCGCAATGTTCCTCCCTCACCATGGTTTCACCAAGGAAATCCATAAAACTTCCTGACACGCGAAAACACATACAAAACTGTGGTGGTAAACTGTAAACTCAAAAACTCAAAGCCAAACCATCCACTTCATTCCACTCAAAAACACAGGATCCACACTCACACCTTCAAATGAAACCTCACAAAGAACACAACCAATGTCCTTCACTCCATGTCTTCGAAGTCTGTCCTTTCTTCATTGAACTCCGTCCTTTCCCCCAACCCACCCTTGGAACGCACGCACGCACGCAGCACCGCGGCCGCGGTGTCGCGCGAGGGCTTTCGGTCCAGGTCGTTCGGACGGACCGAGTGACTTGATGAGATCACCGATCCCTTGGAGCTGTGACATCCCATTGGCCCCGCGGCGGATCGGCCGCGAAGGATAGGGCGAATCGGCGCAAAAGACGTGTGGAGTTTTTGTGGGTTTGATGGGCGGCTTAGGATGGGCGGGTTAGGGTAGGTATAGGCTATGGAGACCAATTCTGGTTGGGTTGGGCATCGTTTTGCCGCGTTGCTTTCTTTTTAGCACATTGGAACACTTCGATGAGAGGTCACTCTCGGGGAAACAACAAGACAATTGTTGGTTCTCAGCCGGAACCTTTCGGAAGGCCAACTAATTTGGCCGTTCCGGTGACAAACGGCATTTTGTGAAACAACCAGAATGAACACGCTGATAAAGGACACCAAACAACCAAACATGAGAGTATGTATGATGAGAGTATGCGCAATCCGGGTCGCGGTTCACGGCGGCCACTCAGCCACTCAAGATCCTCACCGGCCACTCAGCCACTCAAGATCCTGAGTGGCTGAGTAGCTGAGTGGCTGACACGAAGAAAGCCTGAGTGGCTGAGTGGTTGACAGGAAGAAATGTCTCAGCGTCTGAGTGGCTGAGAGGAAGACAAGCCTGAGTGGCTGAGTGGCTGACAGGAAGGAAAGTCTGAGTAGCTGAGTGGCTGGTGCCGAGTGGCTGGGTGGAGGTGGTGGTAGTAGTAGTAGTAGTAGCAGTAGTAGGAGTAGGAGTAGCAGCAGCAGTAGTTCTACTACTAATAGTAGGAGTGGTCGGAGCAGTGGAAGTGGTAGTCGTAGTGGTAGTAATACTAGCAGTGGCAGTAGCAGTAGCCACTGTAGGAGGAGCCTTGCCGATCCTCATTGGGCGAAAGAGCTGCTGACAACTGTTACTTTACATCCCAAGAACAATAGGCCCCGTGCTCCAACGAGCAATCAGCCCAGTGCTGTTAGCGTGCGCGTCACCATTTGTGTGCTGCAGCTCACTTGCCGACTGACTTCGTGCCCACTGCGAATGGTAGTGGAACAGCAGGATCCGTTTCAGAAACGGAGGATTTCCACGGTCTTTCTGTTTTGAATATTATACCTTGCACCTCTAAACCCGGTTGAGCGCTATGGAAATGCAGCTCGAACCCTGGCTTTCCGTATGGGTACACGAGCTCAGCGAGTGCTGCACGGAAACAAACACCTCCGGTGCGCTTCGGCTACGGATCCCTGGGTGAACTCCGACTGGTGGAGGCGCTTTTTTCGCAAAACGATGGACTGAAGACAGCTACTGTAGCTGATAGTGCTTTTGATGGCGCGCGTGAAGGTTCGCTTTTCTTAAATCGTGAGAAGTTGAGATTTGGGCGGGCGAATCATGACTCTTCAGATCAGTTGTCAGTTGTCAGCTTCAGTGATCAGTTGTCAGTTGTCCCCGTACAAATTAGCGTCATGTTGGGGGAGCCATTTGGTAAGAGGACATGTGAAAAGAATGACAAGGCTCTGGTCTGGCTTTACAGGATGGTGGGGCTACACCCCCTAAAAGCCCTAAATCTCGACAAATTCACTCATCTGAATTTGCCCGTATTACTCAAGATTAGACATTACAATTGCCTAGAAAAGCAACTTGCCCACTGGCTAAACCAGGCCAAACGACACTTCCACTGATAATATAACGAGCCTTCCACGACACTTCCACTCGATTCACTCGATGATTCTCGCTTCATGGCCCGTAACGCTACGACCGCTGTGACCTCTTCTTTACCACACGGCCGCTCACACTGACTGGCGAAGGGATTCGTTGCAGAAGAATGGTGACGGCTGACTCAGCATAGTTGTTTTGTTGTGTTTTGTTTGACGGTGGTTGGATAAATCGCCAGCCGGAAACAGGTTCACACAAATACAACATCAATGGATCCAAGTTCTTTATATTTCTTCCATAATCAAAATGACACGATTACTACGCTACACGAGGAGCACAGGCCTGGCTTTTTGGGTTCGCTAGAAGGGTTCTACCAAGAAACTGACATGAGAGGCACAGTACAAACTCAAAGGGTGGGGTGATAATGCCGGTTACAAACTTGATCAGTTATGCATGAAGTCACACCATGATATTGTGTCTTTGAAAGTTCTGCTGCTGGAAGTCGGTATCAATGAGTGGCTGCGCGACTGTAGGATGAGTTTGCGAAAAGGCTTTTTGTATGGTAGTATGCTGCTTCAGCCATTTGGTAGAGACTTCATGATTGCACCCCACACTCACAGGCACAAGCGTATTAACTTACCGTATGATAATATGATATGATGTCGTCCGTTTATGTAGAAATGACCTATTATCATGGCAAGATAACAAAGGAACAATGCAATTTCCATATCGATTTCAGGGACAACTTGTAGAGAGGACTGTCTTACGTGAGCGAACGCATGTGGATCGATCTTGGAGTTTGCCCGGAAAAAGGGCTTTCTATGGATTTCTGATAGAGAACAGATCTTTGATTCGCTTCCCACAACGGGGTTGTGTTGCCAAGGCCAGGCATGCATAGAATCGGAATGATTCGGAATGAAACATCCAAACTCGCACCATGCAAATGTTCACGGGGATAGAACAGTGTCTTAATGTGACATGTGCAATACATTCCGATTTAATTCCAAGCTCTACAAAAGTCAGATTCCATCAAATCAATGGAACATGATATACCGAAGTGATGTTTCTACACTTTCTACAAAATGAAGAAAGTACAGTTGGGGTTCTACAAAATTAATTTTTCAAAGACCAAAAGAAGCAATGACTAATTGTGCCCTGACCGAATGACCTCTCGTGCTTGTTTGAGCTGGTTTGGCTACAAAATGACCAGCCCATTGTTTAGCCAAAACCGGTTTTTGAGGTGAAATGATATCCCCAAAAAAACGATATCCCAAACCAGTTACCGGAAGTTGCAAAACTATGTTTTTACAAAAAACGATCCCAACAAATCACCCCATTTGTAGGGTAACTCTGCAAACCTGGTGTTTGGTGCGCAACTCTGCTGTTGGCTGGAAACGGAGCTTGTTTGACAGAGCTTGTTTGACAGACTTTAGTTCTCTCTCATGTTCTCTGCATGCCATGGTTTATCTTCTCCAAACTCTACTTCAGTAATAGATTTGAGCCAAACAGCAGCAACTCAAGCGACTTCAACTTGGAGTGTCCAAAGCTCAGAGGTCGCCTTTTCGGCTGCAAAACCCACCGGCCTTTTCGGTGGCGAGCTCGGTATGACATGGGCACGGCCGATGTAGAAAACACCAGAGGTGTTGCTTTTGCTAAGTGTCAGGGGCTTTTTTGGGCGTTTGCAGCAAAGAGATGCTGGGGACTTCGGAAACCACTTCCAGATCCCTCCTAGCAACCTGTTTGTTTGGCAAAGGATGGCGTTGGATTGGGTCTCTGAAATGCACCTGGTCTTGCAGGACCTTTGTCCACCAACTGTGGGCGAACCATTTGGGGTGCCCAAATCAACGATAGCTGAAGCAGGCTGAAGCATATTGGATGTGGGTACCAGGATCTTTTGAGCAAGGCAATGGGAACCAGCACGCGTTATCTGACGTGTAAGGACCAGATTTGCAAGCCACAACCTGAAGCAACCTTGGCAGTGACCCTGGTTGACCCCGGCTTCAGGATGTCACTGAATTTCCTCTATGTTTAGGATGTCCACCGAAACCATGGGGACTGGTGGTTGTTTCTGCTTTCTTTAAGCCCCGGAAACGCAACGCGCGCCGCACGACGCACGACGCAGGACCCACTTCACCGGGCGCGTTCCGACCTTTTGGCCAACGACGGTGCAACGCACGGTCCGACGGATGGTGGCTGGGCGGAAGGAGCACTGGTTGCGAGCGCGGCTGAGGTTGAAGTTGCCAAACATTCATTCAATAGCCAGCGGGGGGCATAGAGATGGATCCATGTGCACATAGTTTGGTACGACCCAACTCCAGATTGAGATTCCTGTGTTTCTTCGTGACGCGGGGCAGGATGAAGGTTGTCATTCAGAATCTTGGGTGTGATGACAATTGCCTAAAGTTGTGGAAACAGGTCCTACAAACACAAATACAACTTGGTCCATGGCAAATATATAACCTTCCACAACATCACAACATCATTTCAGCCTTCCTCCGTGCAAGAAAAACACTTCAAAATTGCATCTTCCCCTTGTTGTTTTTTTACATGTTCCATGCGGTACGTACTTCACTGCCAAGGATACCCACCTTGTGGGTTGAAATCAGCTTGACCACCATCCAAACTTGCAGACATGAGCTCCCAAAGAGCATCTGCTCACTTCTTGGCGCAGTGCCATGTGACACATCGGGGGAACCCCAAGCATCAAACTTGCACTTCAAAGCTTTGCAGTGTTCCAAATCCGAACTCCAGTTACCATGTTCATAAGAATTGCTGATTCATGGACTACCAAGAACTACTAGAATTCTTTATTGTTACTAGTAGTTTTTTGTTCCTAATAGCGATGGCCTCCACGTAGTAGCGCCGATTGCTACTAGTAACTTCTAGCTGAAATCGTTCATGTTTCAGCGCTTTGCTGCCAAGTCCTGACCCCGCCCAGTCGCAACAATCTATGAGGTCTCATCTCTGGTCATGTCTCCAGTTTCTGATGTGCGTTCGAAAACAAATATCCAGCATCAGGTCTGTTGATTGTAAGACATGCTCATGCACTGTCGGGAACCAAACCTCGGGAAAGGGAAGCACCTGATGAAATCATATATTAAATACAGCTTCCACCTCTGTGTACGTACTCGCAGCTGCTGTTGGGGGGCAGCATCGGAACAAGGATCCATTTTGTCGAGGATGTTGCCAATCACCTGTCACCTGCAATCTCTGCTACTACTCCGTGTTGGCACGCGACAAGCTTTCTTCGTAGATTAGGCGCCACATACCCAAGGCTTCTCCTTGATGGCGAATTTCGAATTCACTCAACCCCTGTTTAGGGGCTGAAAGAAATCTCTTGGCACGGCTGAGTGAATGCAGGCAGCTCCCAATGCTGGCACTCCGTCCTTTCTGTGTGAACAAGTAGCAAATTCACAAATAGTTGTCGCTTGATCCATCAGACATATTCGTGCAAGGAACCTATAAACACCAGCGAGGCGAATTCAAAAGACCCAGCAGGTGAGATCTGCCCACATTGACCATATATGTCCTCGCTGCCGCTACATGCTAAAGCCTTCCAGTGGCCACAGGCCGCAGTTATAGGTCTATATTCAACCACCCTTTTGGGGATTGTGCCATCTACTCTCAATCCACGATGATTAAAAACACTGAAGACTTCCGGACGTCATGCAACGTCATACGTTGTGACGGGAAAAAGAAAGGGCTGCATCGGTGTGTTCTCTCTAGACGGTCTCTAACAAGCTTTTCGATTAGACTCCAAGTGGATCCAAAATGCACTCTCAGGAGGTAGTTGGAGTGGAATGGCATGATCATAATGTAGTCCCTTGATTTATAAACCCCCCCCCCCCCCCCCCCCCCTCAACAACCAAGGCCTCCAAAATAATGTATAAGAAAATCAATCAATTGATAATTAAATAAGGAATCCTTAGCTAGCTACCTCTAGAGCTACTCTGGCAATATTAAATTAAAAGGAAATAAGAATTCCTAACTTTGAAGACATCTGGAATATTAATTACAATAAAAGGGAATGAATCAATGGAAGTAGAACTAACTGTTTAAATTTCAATGGAAATCTCAATCCAAAGACCTGCAAAATCATTCAATCTCAATGGAAATCTCAAAAGTTTTAAAAGAAATCTCCATCCAAAAGCCTCCAAAAGCATTAAATCTCAATGGAAATCTCACAAATTTTGAATAGAAATCTCTATCCAAAAGCATCCACAAAAGCATCAAATCTCAATGGAAATCTCAAATGTTTTAATAGAAATCTCCATCCCAAAGCCTCCAAAAGCATCAAATCTCAATGGAAATCTCCAAATTTTAAATAGAAATCTCCATCCAAAAGCCTCCAAAAGCATCAAATCTCAATGGAAACCTTCAAATGTTTAATGGGCATCTTCATCAAAAGGCATCCAAAAGCATCAAATCTCAATGGAAATCTTCAAATGTTTAATGGAGCACTATAAAGAAAGGGGATTTTATAAAGAAAGTGCGCACTGACTTTTGGAAACTTTTGGAAAGCTTCAC